GCTCCCGACTAGCTCCTTGCCTTATTGTTGGTGCACCGGCGGTAGCCGTACGTTCTCTCTTCCCGGGGTACGGGGTAGCTTCCGGAACGCGAGGGACTCAGTAAGTGCTCCTGGCCAGGGTCGGGGTCTGAGCCCCGGGGTCCGGAGGCATTTCCAACTTGGGAGCCGTTGCGCCTGTTCCGACCGGGGTCTGAGCGGGTACACCTGTTCCCACTCGGGCGCTGGGCTGTGTCCCTGGAGTGGACAAGGTCTGAGTAGTCACCTGGGCCTCCCCATGACTTGATCACTCGAGTAAAGGACCCACTCTCCAAAAATATCCTCGTGTAGTTTCTGAATCCCTGAGGCCGGGTGGATGGCGGTGGGAATTGGGGGTTTCCGAGTGAGAACGTTTACAGGCTGGGGTCGGCGCAGTCCTTTCCAGTAGATTTGAGACGTGAGAAATTTATTGAAAACTCCCTTTTGGGTTTTTTTTTTCCTCCCCCCTCCGCCCTGGAACGCTGGAGAAAAGCGGGGAGGAAGTTTTCCTCCTCTCTGGCTTCTGTTGCCTGGCACGAGGAGCGGGTAGAGGCCTTAGAAAAGGGTGGGCTTGGTGCCTGCTGAAGGGTGAGTGGGTGTGGGTGACCCCCTTTTCCTACACCGTCCCTGCTCGCCTTTACCCGAGAGACCTTTAGACTGTGCGCTTGGGGGTGACTTTTCCTGTCTTTCTCTTTATGCCCCTTTCCCGGCAGGTGAAAACTTTTGGCTCATTTGGAAGCGGCAACCAGGACAACCTGACAATGTACATGGATTTAGCGGATGGCATCTTTTTGAACCAAATCATGTTGCAAATGTAAGTTATCTACAAGGAGAAAGGAAAAAATGATGCTTCAGAACGTTTAAGGTTGTAGAAATGGAACATGAAGTTGAAACAGGAGGGTTCTTTGCAGGCAGGGTCCCTGGTATTGCAGTATAGTATGAAGGTGACTTATTTCCCTTGGGGATATGGAGAATTCCAGGACAGCAGGTTGGCAGCTTGTTTGGTACATTTGAAATTGAACGACCATCATCCTCTTGGTCTAGATAGCACAATTGACTTCAAACTCAGATACTTGAGGTTTGAACTCTGAAATAAAAAAAAAAAAAAAAAAATCCTTTTTGGGGGCAAGGAACTGTAACGGAGAGTCTGGTTACAGGAAGTGTCTAGGGTGGACCCAGAGCATCTGTGAGGGACTATAAAGTTCCCCTGTAGGTTGGGATGCCTGTGTTTCTGAGCTTTCCATTTCATCTTGTTTTCAGTTGCCCCGAAGCAAGTGCAATTGGTTAAGGCCCTTCCCCTGTGTTAGGTTTGAAGTCACTGTGTTAAGAGAGGCCCTGGGAGTCTCAGTGCTGTGGTACTGTTTGTCTTGAAGCACTCGCAGCTTAAACAGGGTCTTGGTGGAAGTTACACTTGTTAGCATGTATGTCTGACCACATCCTTTCCTGTTGCTGAATTCTGCAGAGCCTGTTTGATTGACAGCCTGCCACACGTAGGTGTTGGCTCTCCACTGCATTCTGTTTTTAACCCAGAAAGTGCAGGGAACACATTGGAACTGAGTGTCAGCATGATTCACAAGCGCTGGAAGCAAAATAAAACATTCTAATGTTCTCTGTGGATCGGCCCCTTGTGCTCACCTACTCACCTGCAACTAAGCAAGTTGTCATACTTGAACATGAAGCCATTAGCTAATGAGAATCAGCTTTGCGGCCCACACAGGAGGAGCACTTAGCTTGGGCATATTCAGAAAGTGGTTTAAATAGATCTACCTAAAAAGGCCTGTTTTTTAAAATTCCCTGGCAACACTCCTTCTTTTAGTAAGTCATTGGGTGTCATGTTGTGTGAGAGACACTTCAGTTTGCCTGTTTCTTAATCTTACCAATCTTGTGTTTGGTTAGATTCTAAAAAGACTGTTGCCACTTTGGCAGCTCTTGTCTGAGAACATTGAAAACGAGTTTTCCTGGGGTTGTCAAGCGTCATATTTAAGTTCTGGCAACTCTACCCCCATTTTGGTGGACCCCGAAAGTTACTGGATTTCATTGGTTCGGTGACCAGTGTGTCCTTACCCAAGCCTGTTTAATTAAAAACAGCAGTATCCTCAGCCTTTTTATTCAGTTTTTACACCCAGGCGGAGGGGAGAACAAAAGCCCTGGGACTGTTTCTCTTTCTTCCCTGACCTTTGGAATTCCTGAAGCGTTTACCACTTGCTTGTAAATCAGGAGAGCCTGTTGGACCATTCCTTTGAGAAATGCCAGCTCATCACTTGTTCACACTTGGCCCTTGGCTAAATTCAGTTTGAAGGGCTTCTCCACTTCCCTTGACAATTTTACATGGTCTCTCCTCTGTGATATGCGAAGATAATCATTCTTGAAATGGGAGCTGATAAGTCCTCGAGCTCTTATGGCCTCAAGCAGTGTTTCTGGTGCCTTCTGGCCAGGGTCAAGAACAGAGGAAAGGACACCAGGAAGCTGTTTGGGTGGCTTTCTGAACAAGGAAATCAAGGAGTGAATGGCTTCAGCAGCACACCGTTTACAGAATTACCCTGTTCCAGGTGATAGCAATCAGAACGTTGTTTGCACCTGGAGGCGGGTGGGGATTGTCTGGAAAGGAGACACAGGTGAACTTTTAGGGATGGTAATACTGATCTGTACATTGATCAGGACATTGATCATGAAATGAAGGACGTTTCATTTTTCAGAACTCATCAAGCTGTAACTTACGATCTGTGCATTCGCTCTATGTAATTACCTCAATTGAAAAAAAAAAAAAAAGTGTTCCAGCCCTAGTGTTGACAGCCTAGGTAGCCAGCCAGGGTTTGAACCCTAGGTCAGCTTACACTCGCCAAGTGAGGCTGGGCACACACAGCTCAACACTTCAGTTTACTCATCTGTAGAATGGGAAGTAAATTGCCTCCTTTAAGCGATGGTTGTGAGGATTAAAAGGGATGATGTGTTAGCGATTAGCACAGTGCTTGCCATTTAACAGGTATTAGTATCAATTATATATGTGCCATCTTAATCCAGAACGGATTTGAGGTGCCCCTTAGGAGTTTTTCCAGTGTACCTTTCTCCTACGTTGTTAGTCTCTTAGATTACTGCGTAGCTCATAGCTTTGGTCCTCTCTCAGCAAGCGCTAGGGCACAGCTGGACGCTGGGACCCGAGTCCAAGCCCCATATTTGACACTGTCTGTAAGCCTTGGTGTTCACTTGTGCCAAATGGAGAAATGTCAGGCTAACTAGCAGGTAAGTGATAAGGCGATTCTGCCTTATCTCCTATGCTGATAGCTCCAACTGTGTGCTTCTTGCCTATTTTGGTAAATTCTCCCCAAGTTGGTAGGACCTGGGAAAATTGTAGAGAGCAGTGTGCTCAGTGGGTTGCTGGAGCTCAGATAAGAGGCATGTTACCTAACACTTCAGAGCCATATGGATGCCGGTGGGGGTCACGTGGCTGCACCTAGGCTTTGTCTCCGGCAACTGAAGAAGGCCACGGTAGTAGTCTCTTGGCCCTGGCCTCACGGTGACATCAGTGCCTGGAAGCAGGAAAGCCCTGTGGGCTCAGCTTTCAGGGGAGGCCCAGGTCTAGGAGAATTCTTTAGTGAAAGGCATTGAGTGGCTTGGAACAAGATGCATAGGGCACCCTGCTGAATAGTGCCTCTGTAAATGCAGTCTTTCTGGGTGATCTGCTGGTACCCAAGGGAAAACAAGATTTCTGATTCACTTTGGACACGTTTCTCACTGTCTCGTAGCAAAAGTATTTAAGCACTTGTCTGCCTGATGTTTTCAGGGACCAAGTTCACGTTCCCTTCTCTGCCACTTACTAGTTCAGCCACCTTGGGCAAATTACTTACATTCTCTAAGCCTCAACTTCGCTATCAGTAATAAGGGGATTGTATTTTATAAACTTGGGAGGATTGAATAAGATGATGTGTATAGAAAATGCCCAAGAAACATCCATCATTGTTGGGAGTGAGGCCTGGGCCATGTTCGTGCGTGCACCGTGCCTGCTCCAGCGTGCATCTGTACTTCTGAGAGCAGACACCTTCTGATTTGAGGCTGTGGCTGTTGAGTGCAGTTGGGAACTTGGGATTGGGACTGAGAGCCTGTGCCCTTGCAAGGCCTGTGGGAAGTCCAGCACTATTTGCTTTATTCAGACTCCCTTCTTTACCCCTCGTGCTCACTGCAAAATTCAGGATCTTTTTCAGGGGTTAGAAACCTCCTCAGGCCTAAGTTTCTAAAAGGCATTTGAAGGATAATTTTTTTTTCCCCTAGTGTGCTGGAAGAGGAGTTCTATTCCTATTCGGTATCTGTGAAAGCTGAGGATATAAGGGCAAATACTTGTTGTTGAATGAGTTTGTGTTGGCAGGAAAGTGTTGGCGCAAAAATTTTTACTTGTGAACTTAAGTGATTTCCTTTTTTGGCTACAGAGTATGACATGGGGGCTTTGAGTCCTTAAAAATAACACCAGGGGGCACCTCAGTCAGTTAAGCATCTGACTCTTTAGCTCAGGTCATGATCTCACGGTTTCTGGGTTTAAGCCCTGGGTCAGGCTCTGCATTGACAGTGCAGAGCCTGCTTGGGATTCTCTCTCTCCCTCTCTGTCTCTGTGCCTCACGCACTTGCTTGCTGTCTCTCAAGTTGAAAAAAAATATATTTAATTACACCAAAAGTTTACATTCGTTGCAGGAGAATAAGAAATGGTGAGCAAAATAAAATTACCTATAATTTTACCACAAAGAGGTAGCAGTGCTAATCTGTGTCTTCTGAATGTCTATAGTAAATAGGTTTATGTTCCTTAATGTATTTTTATGCAAACTTGGGCTCATGCTGTTGTTTTTTTAACATCCTTTTTTTTTTTTCACCTGTGATATATTGTGGACATCTGTGTCAATATGTTTCTTGACTCAGGTTTAAATTTTGGAAGCCTTTGGAATATAACCAAAGTTGGGGGCTGGCTTTCAAAAAGGAGGGGGGCAAGATTGCTATAAACCTAAATCATAACTCTCTTTAAAATTCTAGGGCAAGTTGATTTCCTTTTTTCTAGTTAGAAGTTTTTATGAGAAGGAGGCCCTGGGGGCCCCACACTTTGGACTTGGAACTCTCTGAGATGGGACACACTACCAGATGTTTGCACCCCCAGTGCCTCTCTCCTGCCCTCTGACATCTAGATATTGTGGAAAGAAGATCTTGTTGTTAATGATGGCTTTTGGGGATGTGCAGTTGGTGCAATGGTTATATGATGTCCTCTTTCTGGGATCTAGGACCAAGTACGGCCAGTGTGACCTGGCCTTCACAGAATGACAGTCTAGGGCTGGAAGGATCCTACAGTCATTTTGCAGATGAGCACCCTGGGGCCCAGAGAACCTTGGCCAGTCCTGCACCCCGGACTGGAGTCTGTGTCTTCTGACCCATTTCCTGCAGCATAGAAAGGTGGAGGTTACTCAGTGCTGGGAGAGTGAGGATGAGCCTTACTTAACCCTAGTTGACTTTTGTTTCCAGTTGTTTCCTCATAACCTCTCTACCCTGAGAGCCTCAGTTAGAAGATGGGAGTACTAATGATCGTGATAATGAGTCTAATTACTCATATGGTAAGCATCGAATGAGGCTCTTTTGTAGTGTTGTTTCTCTTAGCTGAACTGGGAGAACAAAAGCCGAGATGGTCAGAGGCTTCCCTGCTGTTATCTGAGGGGCACCCAGGTCTCCACCGCGCCCCCCATGCCTTGTGCGTTGTGCCTTTGCTCACGCAGTGAACGTGTATTCCACCACGCGTGCCGAGGCCCTCTGACTCAAAGCTGGGACCACAGTAGCAAAACAGAAAAAGTCCTGCGTGTTCTCGAAGTTCAGTTTTAAGAAGTACTTTAGTCACATTATGAACTTGTTTCTCATCTCTTGAGATACCTAAGCAGAGGAGAAGTGAGCCTTTGAGATAAATTATTTGTAATGTTAGGTATACTTCTGTAGCTAACAATGCCTTTGTGGTTTACGTTCTGAATGCCGCCTCTATTCCTAAATTAATTTCCACTGAACTGTTAACCTTTGTTTTCTCAGTAATGAATGGCTCCAAGAGAAATCTAATGTGCAAATGGCTTGGCCAGGCTCCATTACCGTGTGGGGACAATAAGACATGTTGTCACATGACAGTTGAAAAGAGATTCCCTGGTTGACCCAAGGTACCCATGCGATTATTTTAGGGGATACAGGGTGTTCAAACAAAATCCATGGCTGACAACATGTAATGCGTAAAGGGGTTTGCGTACACATGAAACAGGGTAGGGACTCGTGGTGTATATGTCAAATGTTTAACGGCTGAATTCCGAACAGCTCATGTTATTAAGAAAAAGATTATACTTCCAATGACATTTGAAAAGATTTCTATTTGTAAATTTTTTTTGGTCAGTTTTGTGTTAGTTGGCTTTGGGATGAGTCGAGTGGCATTGAGGTTGATTTCCTTAACTCTCCCCCCCCACCCCCATTCCTGTGCTCCTGTCTCCTTGTGGGCCGATTACTGAGGAAGAGGCTGACTCTGCCTTCACACCACCCCGGGGAGGTTCAGCACCCTTATCACGGAGCCAAGATGACAGATGATGAAGCCCTGAAAACAGCCCTCATTTCAGTTAGCTCTCTTTGTGGAGGATGGGACAGGCACCTGGGAGGGAGGGCTTTGTTGTGGAAAGCATCGCATGGTACCTGGGGAGGCGGAAGCTGAATTTCTTTTCCTGACTCTGTTCTCTTCACATAAACATTTTTGAAAAATGTTCTGGACGTAAATGAGAGGAATGATAAATCACTTGATTCAGATTTCTAGTTTCATCGCAGCTGGACCTGACTTTTGCCTGAGATTGGAAAATAAATGACGCTTTGGGGGTTTCCCACGTGAATTATTTATATCTCTGCTCTTAGCCTTTCTCATAGGGTGCGTGTATGTCATACCCTGTCACAGACTCGGGTTTTTCGGGGGTAGAGTTGTGTCCCTGAAATGTCAATCACCGGCAGGACCAGCCTAGACCAATCTGGTTGACGGGGTGGGGGAGGGGGAGATGGAACTTTAATAATTTTGATTTATTGTCAGAAAACATCATTTTTTTTTCCTTTTCTTTCTTGGTATTTAGTATATTTTGGTCTGTTCAGACTTGAACATTTTGTTTTATTTTTTTTAAGTCTGTTTATTTTGAGAGAGACAGCGTGGGGGGCGGGTAGAGAGAGAGGGAATCCCAAGCAGGCTCCCCACTGTCAATGCAGAGCCTGACACAGGGCTGGAACTCATGAAACCGTGAGATCATGACCTGAGCCAAAGCCGAGAGTTGGACACTTAACTGACTGAACCACCCAGGCGCCCCTTAACCTTTTTAATCTTGAAATCTTGGGATGGGTTATTGGTTTTTATACAGTATAACCTTTTGGGTCTGCACTGGCATTTGGTGTTGGATTATGGGTGTTGCTAGCAGTAGGGATGGAAATAGCATTGACTCCAGCCGGGGGATGGGGAAGCAGGGAGGTGATGCCCGCCCGCCCCCCCGGTCAAGGTCTGGGACTTGGCAGTAGCAGAATAAGGAGAAATAGCATTGACCCCGGGCCTGTGATGGGCTAGGTGCTGCGGGATGGGGAAGCAGGGAGGTGAGGGGGCGCCCCCACCCAAGATCCGGGGATTGGCAGTAGCAGAATAAGGATTTGACTCAATCCACAGTCATAGCTACATAGTAACCGAGGCTGGAGGGGAGGACGGGAGGTTCACTCTTGCCTGGGAATGGGGGTGCGTGGCAGATGATGCGATACGCAGTTTCCATTCTCCTCTTCCTTCTCTAGTGACCCCAGACCAACAAATCAGCGCATCAACAAGCACGTTAACAACGATGTGAACCTCCGCATTCAGAACTTGACCATCTTGGTGAGAAACATTAAGACCTACTACCAGGTAAGGGCCAGGAACTCTGTCCCCCCAGGGTTCTGCTGTGCATCTGGCAGTCTCGTCACTCAGGCGGTTTCCCCACAGGAAGCTGAGAGGAAATGGTGTTCATGGTTAGGCATCTACTCGCTAACGCTTGGTGTGTTTTCACTTTTGTATTTTTTGGGGGTGTCATGAGAAGGGTCTGATGTTGGATCACTTTGTCTGGTGAACGTCCTTTGAGCTGTGTGCCCAGCATCGTGTATGGTGTGGTGGGGATTCCCAGAGATGGCCCTCCATTCATAGCCGCAGCCTCAAGCATGCAGCTGAACGGAGACTGGCTCCGGGGGGCGGGGCAGGGGCACCCTGACGTGGTGTCACCCACAGCTCAGCTTTTGTTCAGGAGCAACTGCAAGGGTTGGGGTGGGGGGGACCACAGAAGGGTTATGCTTGAGCCCCCAGCTTGCAGGCAGGGATTCATGGTGAGGAGTGTCCGTTTGTTAGGGTCTCCCTGTATCTCACTGGCAGATAGGTGATGGGTTGGGCAAGGGGGCCTGCCGGGGAAGGCCTGTTAAAATCCATCCCAGCCTTGGGAAGGTCAGGTGAGAGTCTTTGATATTGATTGTAAGTGGATTTAAACTGTGTGTCTCAGACCCCTGGTTTTCCAACTTCATAGCAGTGAAACAAGAATTCTTCCCTCTGTGCATTTTTCCTGAAGCCCCAAGTGAAGCCCTAGTGACTCTGATTGACTTGACAGGTCCTAGTGGTCTCTACTCAGCTCCCCTCTCTCCCTCTGGGGATCTCTGTGGGTTCCCAGGACCCTAGGGAACACCATTTGAGAACGACTGCTCAAGAACAAATCTTTTCCAGAATTCATGCTGGGGCTTCCCTGATTGCTTGGGCGGACTCTGCCTCTGAGACCTGTTCCTAGCATCCACTTTCTGGACTGTAACTCTGTCTTGGTGCTGGGGTTCAGGGGCATCTTTCAGAGTGGAAAGATCCCTGCAGACATGAGGTAGGCTCCCTCTCTGTCCTGTGTGGTGCAGTGGTTGCTGGCTCTGAGGTGAGCTGAGGCCTCATGCAGGGCCAGCTCCTGCTGAGGGCTGTGGTGGCTGCAGGGGCCCTTCTTCTGACTCAGTACAAATTTGGGAGCAGATGGGAGAGGAAGGGAGTGGACTGTGTCCGGGGTTTTCCGAGATGATTGTTTCCACCCTCTCATTGAGATCGGGGTGTGTGAGAGAAGGCTTCGGTGCTAGGACACTTTCCCTGAGCAGCCAATTCCACAAGCCACCTGAGCTCATTCCATGGACCAGCACCTTGGACTCTCTGAGCAGCTTCTGGGAGACTTAGGTCCAGCCCTGCCCTATTAGTCCCAGGTAGGTGCCAGCTGTGCTGAGGAGAGGGCCTGAGCCAGCTGGATCTGTGGGGTGAAGTGGGTTTGTTTCCTCATCTGAGGGGTGCCACACTCGGGGCCGGGCGTGCTGCAGGCAGGCAGGAAATACTCAGCGAGTGTTCCCCTGGAGACGGCCACAGGCAGGGGAAGTTGGGTAAAGGTGATTGGCCTGCCAGTGAACTTGAGTCTGGGCGTGGAAGGGGCTGTTCAGCATGTACTCAGGGCTTGATCCCTGTCTGCAGGTGCCTTCAATGGTGTGTGCTAAGTGCCTGGAGAAGTGGATGGTGCAGATAGTTGGGAGAGACAAGATCTCTAACCCATGCTGCAGGGTTGGAGAGGGGGAAGGCTTCTTGGAGGAGGGGGCACCTGAGTGGAGTCTTGGTAGGTGGTTGAGTTTCCAAGTTTGGAAGGTCATGGGAGAGAAAGGGGAGGGGTGTAGAGGTAGAGGAAGACATGGAGGCACGAGACAGGTCTGTCCTCGATCTGTCAGGGTCCACATTTTCTGCAGCTGCTCAAATGAAGGTTTGTTTCACTAAGTTTTAGATGAATCAGAACTGGAGAGGATATGAACATAAGAGATCCCGAAATTCAGAACCGGTGTGCAAGGCTGGCCAGGGCTAACAGCCCTGTCGATAAGTTGACAGGTGTGTCTCAGGCCTGAGACATGGCAGGGAGGTGGTACCCTCTCCCTGGTTGGTGGCAGTGATGAAGGGCTCAAGTGGAGGTGATGGTGTGCAGGGGCTGTCCTCTGCTCTTTGTGGTCCAGGAGGTCGCATGCTGATGGTGAGCAGTGGCTCCTGACAGTCCAGCCGAAGGGAGTTTGACGCTTATTTGAGACAGTGTCCGTTTGGAGGCGGATTGCTGCTCTGTGTCAAGTTCCAGAAGGTGAGAAACTGGGAGGAAAAGATGTCTAGTCCATGCTCAGGGCCCAGGAAGTCTCCGAGGTAGAAGGGAGGACCCTGCATCCTTGTTCTGCTTCTGCACTGTTAACCCTTCGAGGGCAATGCTGGTGTGCATTAGCAGCCCAGTCCAGAGTGAATATTTGCTGAAGGCACTTGCTCAAGGCCGCAGAGCCGTTCTTGCCCCTCAGTCCTGCTTACGTGGAGAAGGCTAGCAGGCCATTTGCTCTCTGGGCTGGCACACGTTAGACGTGGGCAGTTGTGTATATTTTTTCCTTCCGATTTATTGTAAAATTAAGCTCTAGTTCTGTAAGTAATAGGTGCTCTTTGTAAACAACTTGGAAAATAAGTAGCAAGAAGAAAAGAACACCCACAATCCCACCACCTAAAGACAATCCCTATTAACGTTTTTACTGTTTCCTTCCAGTGTTTGCATGAATAGTTTTTGTTTTACATGGTTGTGGTCGTGCCATATATACAATTGCATATCCTGCCTTTTTTCCTTCCATCTGACATTCAAGTGTAGACATAATTGGTTATTATTATAAAAGGTCACTCAAGAAAAGTTTCCAAGAGAAGTACTGCCCGAGTCCCTTTGTGAAAGTGGCCTGGCAGGTTGTGAGGGCTCAGGATGAAGCAGGACAAATGTCATTCCTTATTGTTACAAGGGTGGCCTAGAAGGGTGAGAGGCTGCCCCCAAGGGAGTGGGACTCCCACTTGGCTGTGGCTTTTCAGTAGACTTGAGACATTGAGTCTTGCCTGTGGCTTTTCTGAGACGTTGAGGTCACAGAAGCCAGCCTTGAGTGTTGTTTGCCAAGCAGTGGTTCTGCCTTTGGCGGTCCCCTTGTTTTCAGAGGCACCATGGGACAGGGACAGTTAGAAAGGATGGGGACCTCTCTTGAATAGCGTGGGCTTCTGTCACAAGGAAACTCAAGTTTTGGCTCTGAAAACCTTCGGAGACAACGATCCTTGACCTTTTGCTGGGGCAGAACATAGACGGTGGGTAAAAATAAGCATGGCCAGTCTCAGTCTGACCATTGGTGTGTCAGCCAGATCTCAGGCTGCCTTCTGACCTGCCGCTTGGACTTCTCTGCCGTTGGGGCCTAGATTCTGCATTTTAGAAGTTCTCCAGCTGTTAGTCTTGCCATCCTTCCAGCAGGATTGGGAATCACTGGGTTTTCTCAAAGTGTGGTCCCCAGGCCAATGGTATTGACATGGCCTAGGAACTTAGTAGAAGTGGGGATCCTCAGGCCCTTCTGCAGACCTCCCCAGCCCCACAGTCTGTCTTAACAAGCCCTCCAGGTGATTCTGATGCACATTCTCATGGGAACCAAGGGTTAGAGCGTTTCTAGTGATGTCCAGAAGAGGCATCTTCAGCCAGGTGTCCCCAGGTGACTCCTGTCCATCACGTACAGAGGCACATCTCATGTGTCCTGGGACAGTGAGGCAGAGAAGAGAGTGCCTGGTTTGGTCTGTGGCTTTTGCAGAAGAAAAGGCTGGCAGTCCAAGGTGGAGGTACCTGCTCCAGGATGAGTCTCCGCAGATAGGACATGTGCTGAGGCTTGGAGGAAAGGCAAGCTTAGACCAGAACTGCACGCTGCTTCTGGCCACCTGGCTGGCCAGCTTTGAGCCTGGCATCATGTGATGCTTGTTTCAGTGCTCAACAACCAAGCCCTTCTTCATCTGAATCTTTTTTTTTTTTTTTAATTTTTTTTTCAACGTTTTTATTTATTTTTGGGACAGAGAGAGACAGAGCATGAACGGGGGAGGGGCAGAGAGAGAGGGAGACACAGAATCGGAAACAGGCTCCAGGCTCCGAGCCATCAGCCCAGAGCCTGACGCGGGGCTCGAACTCACGGACCGCGAGATCGTGACCTGGCTGAAGTCGGACGCTTAACCGACTGCGCCACCCAGGCGCCCCCATCTGAGTCTTTTTTAAGTTAAAGTTTGGATTTATAGAATGGTTCTTTTTTATATTCAGATTCTTGAGTGTTTATATTAAATGCATGTTCATTTGATAGTGGAGCCAGTAGGAAAATATGGCTAGTATAAGCAGAAATCCCTGGTGCAGCAGTGGCTGTGCGTTTGTTCTTTGGGGTTTGTGCGTGAGTGTCCCATTGCCATTACCTGCCCTGGATACCTGCACCCTTGTTCTGCCTCCTGACAGTCAGGGCCTACTTGTCATGTGAAGTTTCTGAGGCCTTTTTTTGGCTTTATGCTGCTGGGAAGCATTTCAAACAGAGGCTTGGATAAATTCACTGTGTGTTGATCTTTGTTGTCAGGTACACATATAGATCTCTGTCCTGAAATCGGGACCCTCAGGCGGATGTAGAGACCCACCTGCAGAACTTACCCTGAAATGAGAAATTTGCGGGGTTTCTTTGAGCTTCTCACCTTAACTGATCATGTACCGGAATAGTCTGCGTTCCCTCTCTGGGCCGCCTGAGTTCTCATCTGTCAAGAAGTGGATGGGCCCTCATGGGCCTCAGATTCCACAGTCACGCAGTGGCCGGAGACATCTGACAGGTCACCTCAAGGAAGCTCTGTTTTATGAGTTCCTTGAACTTGGCTCTTCTGAGCTCTTGTCTCTCGCTATGGTCAGAAGACCAGAACCAACCCAGAATATTGTTCTTTATCTCAGAAGAAAAGCAGAGTAGAGAATCTGGGGTTGCCTTTTATCTTTTGTAGTCTCTTTCCTTTATTGCCTTGAAAAACAAAAGTAGTACGATGGTCATAAT